TGCCGTAAAAGGTGACTATTCTTCTCGTAAGAGGCGACTAACGAGATCGGGTGATCAGGCTCGCTGACCTGGTTGATGCATGTCATCGTATCCCAATTGCGTAGATAGATTCTCATGATGTCAATCACTGTATTGTCTGGACCTGAATCGATTATTTACAGACCGCTGTCAGATAGCTGGAATATCGCCTGCGACATAAAAGAACCAAAAAACAACAAAAAAACAAACACAGCATAAGTAGAATGATGACCATCCATTCTGTGACACCTCGTTAACGCACGACTACCAGCAGTAACGTCCACACAGAACATCGGGGACACGCTCAGATGTATTGGTCATTACTCAGGACATTGTCCATCCGGGCGATTTCATAAGAGATGGGGCTGTGTGGATTGGCGGGAGTTGTGGTGAAACGTATGGACAGCAAACAACACGTTACGTGTTTGTGTTCATGTAATCAATTGCATACGTCACACAGACACCTTATAATAATTGAATGTCTGATGTTTATGCCACATGAAATAATATCTGAACAATAAGTTCAGAAAAAAACCCTTTATGTATAAATGATCGTCGAACAAAAGTGCAAAAAAAATAATCACAATAATTATACAAAAAACATGGCAATAACAACCGTTCAACAATCCAAACTCGCTCAAGAAACAGGTAAATACTATTCTATTTTTTTCTAAAGAAGCAGCTAAAAGATAAGTTATCTTGTTATATTTTCAAGGAACTATTCCTCTACTCAAGGCAGCCTCAGCTTATCTCAGGTCAGGTCATTTAATATACTAGTCAAAGGGGGTTAAATGGGTTTCTTTTATATCACTAGTTAACCTGTCACAGGTTAACTACAGTAGCATGAAATAATAATCACGTCAAGTGTTGACCGCTGTAGAAAGTAACATACAAAGTGTCAGAGATGCTGTTTTCGGAGCTTCACATACTTCCTGGAAGAATCTTCTCAGGGTTAAAGCTTCTTACCAATATGAAGATGTTTTAGAGACTGGTTGGCAGTTGGAGGCCAAACCTATGCTTACATAGTCTACTTGTACTGTCTCTAAATCTGAACCTCTTCCATCTTTAAGAGCTCTCCACCGCCTTGTCACCCAACCAGCCCCTGCAAGACATTCTAGCAATACCGTATATAGATACAGTAAATATCAGCCTAGCCTCTTCCAGTGATTATACAGAGTAAGGCACCAAACAGTCCCACATTTCAATCTTCCTATTGATTACTGATCAGTCTAATTCGTATTACGTATACAAACAAGAGCGCCTGGTAGTGGGCAGTGTATTGATCTGAGAAAAGCCACACAGCCCCAGACAGTACCAAAGTTAGCCCGACAGTCACAATACCAATGTGTTTTAGATATACTCATTTATCGCTCTATTGGAACTAATTGATCTGGCAGACAGGTCACAAGTGATTTATGGCAACAGCGGTCCTGTTAAACAATATGCAAGACACACACCAATCAGGATATACCACTGATGACATAATGATGACATCATTCAGTCTTAGAATCTTTGTCACCAGGATGTTTGTCCCAAGAGGCGTAAGAATTAGACCTGGTGGCCATGCTCAAGCGACTTGGCTGCTGTGGTGCCCCAACGGGTCGGGTTGCTCATAATATTAACCACTGGTTTGCTTCGTCCAGATTCGATCAATGTTTACTGGCGTAAAACAACAAAGAAACCAATTATTATGAAGGACATTTATAGTCAACGCATCATGTGACTGAGTAGATGTGACAATGTTGACTATTGCTGAATTGTTTGATAGGCATTCCTTAGAAGTTGACGGATGACAAAATAGACACAATGTATAGGTAATAACTTCTTTAATACTGTAAAGGCGACGTTTCGGTATAGATCCTTATACCGTTGTCAAGCAAGACTGAATGAGGAACATGGTACAGAATATATATGTTAGGAGGATTAACAGTAACAACAATTGCATCCATGAGTGGTGTCTTCTGGTACTTTAACCTACAATTCATGCTATCCCACCCATGTATGCAATTGTTGTTACTTTGTTGACTATTGTTGCAGGTTATCGATGCACATGATACCAGAAGATGTAGCAGAACATGTTCTAACATGTTCCTGACTACACGAGAACTTGACACATAAATGTTTAACATTCAGTGAAATTTCAGTTGTTATGTCACTGAAGTAATGTTTGTGTAAACGTAGCTTAATTAATTTTAATTATTAAGCAAGGACTTATTCTCCCGAGTCCTTGTTTAGAAGTGTTCCGCATACATGTTACAATGCTATGAAGACTCACACATGTTACCTGCTCATCCGGCCCCATGCTCATTAACCCCCTTCAAGTCAGCAATAGTAACGGTTTAATAAATATACGATGTGTAATTAGTCGTTAAAGTTTCCCTTAAAAGCCAACAGTGTAGGCTTCTACAACCTTTTATCATTGGGCTGCAACAAATTCAATATGAATGCTAAGAACGGTTATCGACGGTGTTTGTGTACCTCTCTTGTATTTGTGCTTGTTTCATTTCTATAGAAGGTTTTTCACAAGGTTTATTTTTGTGTGAGAATTGTATGGTTTTCTCGGGAATGAATTTAACTTGCCATTTATCAGCTCGCATTGAAATCCTGTCAAGATCCGTGCTTAAGCAGTTATCTGATGTAACAGGATTAGCAGCTACAGCGTGAAGTGAAGTAACGACTAAAAAGGGACGAATTGCACTTTCGATGTTTTAACAACACGATGGCTGTGTCAGCTTCCAATCGCTATACCAATGTCCGCTCAACAGTCGCTACATCACTGTCAGCCTAATAGTGAGTATACGAATATATTCTCCACGGTCGCTACAGCTCAGTGTTACCCACAGTTACACGATCACAGTCAATCTCACAGTAAATTTACCAATGGCAGCTACTTAGTCAGTTTACATATATCAGCTATATTGTCACTATGCCAATATCTGCTACACAGGCTCAATGCCAACATTGGCTATAGTCTTCATGACAGTATCAGCTATACAGTCACTTTGCCAATATCACCAACGCAGTCATTATGCCAACACTATCTACGCAGTCGCTATGCCAACATAAGTTGCAGTCTCTATACAACATCAGCTACATCGTCACTACATCATTACCAGCGACAAAATCTCCGTGCACATATCAGCAAAGGTCGCTGTGCCAATATCAACGACACTGTAACTATCGACGTCACATTTACCAGATCACTGTCAACGTCACATTCACCAGATCACTGTCAACGTCACATTCACCAGATTACTGTCGACGTCACATTCAACAGATCACTGTCAACGTCACATTCACCAGATCACTGTCAACGTCACATTTACCAGATCACTGTCAACGTAACATTCACAAGATCACTGTTAACGTCACATTCACCAGATCACTGTCAACGTCACATTCACCAGATCACTATCGACGTCACATTCAACAGATCACTGTCAACGTCACATTCACCAGATCACTGTCAACGTCACATTTACCAGATCACTGTCAACGTCACATTCACCAGATTACTGTCAACGTCACATTTACTTGATCGCTGTGAACGTCACATTCACCTGATCACTATCGACGTCACATTCATCAGATCACTATCAACGTCACATTCACCAGATCACAGTCAACGCTACATTCACTTCCAAGTAACAGATTACTCCAACCCAAACCCCCACCAAAACTTACACCAACACCAGTCCACGAGGCAACACTTTCCGCCCCCCTACGAACCATTACTACAACCAATAACCCTATACTCCAACTCCACCCCAAACCCTTGATCCCTACACCCCATCACCACCCTCCTACGCTAATCTAACCCCCACCAAAGCTGAAACCAAAACATCCACATCCTTCCGCCCTTACTCGAATAACCGCTCCAACCCCAACCCTTTACCCCCAGTCCAACCCCCAACCCGTAACCCCACTGTCACCCCAACCCTTAATCTCCACTCAAACCCCAACCCTTTACCCCCACTCCAACCCAACCCTTTACCCCCACTCCAACCCCAACCCTTTACCCCCACTCCAACCCCCAACCCTTTACCCCCAATCCGACCCCAACCCTTTACCCCCACTCCAACCCCCAACCCTTTACCCCCACTCCAACCCCCAACCCTTAACCCCACCCCAACCCCCAACCCTTTACCCCCACTCCAACCCTTTACCCCCACTCCAACCCCAACCCTTTACCCCCACTCCAACCCCCAACCCTTAACCCCACTCTAACCCCAAAACCTAACCCCTACACCAGTTCTTCACCACCACTAACCTTAAACCCTCACCGAAACCCATACCCATACCTACACCAGCTCTCACAGCACCATCTACAACGCGGTCCAAAAACACGCCCAGCCTACATTTTTCATACATAGTTGTAATGTCGAACTAAAACGCGACAGTCACAAGCTCACGCCATTTGTTTCCATTAATACAGCTTGAGCCAGATAACAGAGAATCCCGTCATGCTCTCTATGACATAAAGGATCTAAGTTGATATGCTCTTCAAGCAATAAAACCTTCTTATGATTCCAATATTAGGTCGACTTAACTCCGGGAGAAGGAGTATGGCTTCTCGTAGCACTTACGCCCCACTTAACACCTGCTGTTGCTGCCGCGAACATATCGCCAAGCATCAGCCTACCCGCTATCGCCATCCTGCATGCGCCCGCGTGAACAGTAATCTCTCCGTCATCCCCGACGCTTTCTTCACTGACTGAAAGAACATGTGGCAGCAACATTTGTCAATTCACTCACTCTTAAGTATTTAACACAAATCCCCTTTCGGCCTCGCTGGAGGTTGTGAGATGTGCCACAACACAACAAAGACATCGCCACGCTTGTGAAAATAGATAAGATAAAGTATTGATTTGAGATTTATGTGTTACTTTTGAAAAACTAGTACAAGTAAGGTTTTATGACTCGGGGCTGAGCTAGCTCTTACATAAGGCTGACAGCAGGCTGTTTGATTATATTGATTAGCGCGGGTATTGGTGGAGCCGACGCTAGCCGAGGGACGTCAGGGGCGGGATCTTCAACCAACTGGGCGCTTGTCGTCAACACAACAAACTTGGCGTATGCGAAGACTGGTCACGAAGACTGGTCACAGCCCTGGCCGGCGAGGGAGGTCAGCCTGAGACACTTTCAGGGCTTGAGTCCACTTGAGTGGCCGGTGTTGTTGACGGTTGACGCAGTAACTTTATATTTCAAGTAGAAACAGTCGTGGAGTGCCTGCTGTAGACTGGCATCGGAAGTGCTGCTGCAGTCGGACCTCTCCGTCCTATATGTCTATAGTGAGAAAAAGGCTTCACCCAAGGGACACCTTCAACATACCTAATGAACTGTCATGCGACTTCCCACTCTGGCGTGATTAATATTCCATGACGTGCAGTATAAAGCGGACGTGCTTGGTTGTTGCTGGATGGAAAGAGAGCCATGTCAAGATTGGGGCACCAGGCGGGTCTACTTGTGTTTCTAGCAGGCCTGATACAAGTGACGCTTGGATTAGATATTGTCGATGGTAAGTGCCACACATTGATACAACGCTACATCACAGTTCTTCTTCTGTCGCTCCTGTTGAAACATATACAGTGGATATTTACCTGTTGCGCACATATTAACACAATACGTCGATTTTAACTTCTAATGCTGATGTTAACTTGATTCGTTTGTATTAACTTGAACATGATAACGTTCAGTACCTACCTGTCATCGGTGCATCTGTCTTTGTCACAATCTAAACATAATGGAAGACACGACGTGATGGCTTAAATACCTCATCTGTTCACAGGTAATGACACATGGGATATCTAATTGATGCTAATGGGTGGACGCCGTACGTTTATGCCAATGGTTTGAGAATTATTCCCTTTTACTGAATCCCCATGATAGATCTAGAATAACGAAACAAACCTATTGTTCTGATCGAAAACGTCATATACAGCAGAGAACAGGACGAGGAGAGGAGGTCGTTTGTTTCTCTGTAACATTCAAAGTATGTATGCAAAACAAACGACAGAATTCAATACATATTGAACAGAAATACGATGCCAAACGACAGAGTATATGAAAAATAAAGGCATCAAAGAGCCTGAAATTTGATTCTTCCCTATCTCATATTTTGACGTCACATTTATTACGCTGCAATTCTAAGAAAGCCGTTGCATCATGATAATAATGATCTTCCGTTGCATGTGTTGCAATGTTGTGCTTATGTAATGGGGTCCGTTTGGAATGTTAGTTACACATTTTGAATAAATCTCATGTATACGAGAATATTATTCCGATGAAAACAATGACTTGAGTATTAATATTGCTATATATTTTATGCTAAGGCATTTTCTGGTAATTCTGTGTTTTTCATCGGTTACCTCAGCTTCACTCATTATCTTCCTTGACACCAAATAATTATCAATATTTTCATTCAACGTGAAATGGCTATCAATCTATTATGATGCACATGTTGATGCTACTATCATTAATTTGAGATCTCTAAACGATCAATTTGAAAACCCCATGTAATGTCGTTAGGCTAAATTCTTTACTATTCAAAACACAGACTTTATCTCTATAGTTGAGCCAAAATGACATTACTAACAAGTAGAAGACTCTCTTGTGGAAATTATTTGAGAATAATCATTTAAGAAATTAATTAAAAAAATATAACAGCAACAAGGATTTCGAAAAGGTTATGTCAAAGGTCACAGAGACACAGCGAATTCGGCAAGATCACTACATTCCCCATTTCTGTAGGTAGCACCGTATGCCACAGGTGCAGTCCCCATTGACTGTCCTACATTGCACGTAGTAGCTATAAGATAAATACAATTCATCACTCGTGTTTTTAATATGGGAAATATGAATCTAGTCTCGTGAATCGATATTTTACCGTCTAGGTATGTATATTGCTTATCAAATAGTTGTACCCGTAGGGAGTTTCAATATGTTCCTTAATCTAGTTCAGTTGATAAGGTAGTTCTGTTGAGGTTGTTGAAGACATAGACGACACGAGTGCCATGATGGTGCCATGTTCAGTCAGCCAAGTCCATGTTCACATGGAACATCTGTGCTGTGTGGTGGCGTGTGTCATGATCAGAAGGAATATTTTAAAACTGTGTGCTGTAAATGCTTTGTGACGCTATCCGTGAGTTTCCATGTGCAAATGTGACCTGTGCAACGGTATGTCTCATGTGCCTTGTGCAACTGTATGCTTCATGTGGCTTTTGCAACTGTATGCCGCATGTGCCTTGTGCAACTGTATGTCTCATGTGCCTTGTGCAACTGTATACCGCATGTGCCTTGTCCAACTGTATGTCGCATGTGGCTTGTGCAACTGTATGCCACATGTGGCTTGTGCAACTGTATGTCTCATGTGCCTTGTGCAACTGTATGCCGCATGTGCCTTGTCCAACTGTATGCCTCATGTGGCTTGTGCAACTGTATGTCGCATGTGGCTTGTGCAACTGTATGCTCGCATGTGGCTTGTGCAACTGTATGTCGCATGTGGCTTGTGCAAATGTATGCCTCGTGTGGCTTTTGCAACTGTATGACTCATGTGCCTTGTCCAACTGTATGCCACACGTGCCTTGTGCAACTGTATGCCACATGTGCCTTGTGCAACTGTATGCCACATGTGCCTTGTGCAACTGTATGTCGTATGTGGCTTGTGCAACTGTATGTATCATGTGCCTTGTGCAACTGTATGCACCATATGGCCTGTGCAACTATATGACTTATGTGCCTGTGCAACTGTATGCCGCATGTGCCTTGTGCAACTGTATGCCACATGTGCCTTGTGCAACTTTATGCCTCATGTGGCTTGTGCAACTTTGTGCCTCATGTGCCTCGTGCAAGTGTGTTTCTCGTGTGCCTTGTGCAACTGTGTGCGTCATGAACTTTGTGCAAATTTTCCCTGGTGTGGTTTGTACGACTGTGCAGCCATATGCGTCCTGCAGCTGCGTCGCATGTATTTGTGCTACTGTGTCCCGCTTGTGCCGCCAGCAACACTGCATATACCTGGTGCAACTCTACGTCGCTTGTGCCTTGTGCGACTGTATGCTTCATGTGCCTTATGCGACTGTATGCTTCATGTGCCTTTTTCAACTGTATGCCGCATGTGCCTTGTGCAACAGTATGCCGCACGTGCCTTGTGCAACTTTGTGCCTCATGTGCCTTGTGCAACTGTATGCCTTATGTGCCCTGTTCTACTTTGTGCCTCGTGTGCCTTGTGCAAGTGTGTGCCTCATGTGCCTTGTGCCATGTGTCATGAACTTTGTGCAAATTTTCAGTGGTGTGGTTTGTACGACTGTGCAGCCATATGCCTCCTGCAACTGAGTCGCATGTATTTGTGCAACTGTGTCCCGCTTGTGCCATCGCAAATCTGCATATGCCTCCGTACCTTGTACAACTGTGTGCAGCCATGTGGTGCTGTCTGCATGGACGTGTCTTATGCAGCAGATGCAGGATCATTCCCCACGCGTCTGGATATCACATGTGACAGTAGGGCGTCCTGACTGCTGTAACTACGTGGTATCTAGGTAGTTTGTACCTGCACATGTTCTGCTACAGCTCTCACCACTGTTTATGGTCTGTGGCATCTCAACAGCTGACGGAGTTACACAGTGATAAACACACCGGTTGACATGTGTCATATATGAAGCTGTTCTATTTTCCGTAGGTAGTCATCGTTGCCGTGGTAACTAGGAATCTATCACCTACATATAGCCTAGTGTATAATGTTATCATACATAGAATGACAAGACAGGATGTCTCATTGCTCTTCGTTCAAGCCAGGCAGGTGCCCGTGAAGGTGGAATGATTGGTCTATCGAAACAATGTCACCTGTTTAAGCACACATTGGGCCTGAATCGTAACACACACCACTCAAGGTGATGACAAGCATTTATCCAGCACAGTACGCTACACACATATAGCTGAAGCACAGATCGCTACACATATATTGAAGCACAGTACGCTACACATATATTGAAGCACAGTACACTACACACATATAGATGAAGCACAGAACGCTACACATATATTGAAGCACAGTACGCTACACATGTATAGTTGAAGCACAGAACGCTACACACGTATAGTTGAAGCACAGTACGCTACACACGTATAGTTGAAGCACAGTACGCTACACACATATAGCTGAAGCACAGAACGCTACACATATATTGAAGCACAGTACGCTACACACGTATAGTTGAAGCACAGTACGCTACACACATATAGCTGAAGCACAGAACGCTACACACATATTGAAGCACAGTACGCCACACATATACTTGAATCACAGAACGCTACACATATATGGAAGCAAAGTACGCTACACACGTATAGTTGAATCACAGAACGCTACACATATATTGAAGCACAGTACGCTACACACGTATAGTTGAATCACAGAACGCTAATCATATATAGTTGCAGCACAGAACGCTACACATATATTGAAGCACAGTACACTACACACATATAGTTGAAGCACAGTACGCTACACACATATAGCTGAAGCACAGTAGGCTACATACATATAGTTGAAGCACAGTACGCTACACACATATAGTTGACAAATTAACATGGTACAAAACATCGCAGAGGGTCAACACAATGATAACTTTATACATGCACCTTACATTTTTTAGAAATACTTTCACAGTCTCAACACACCTACTCGGTATAAGTTCGGGTTGGTAGGGTAGCCGAGTGATTAAAGCTTCTGCTTGACACTCCGAAGGCCCGGGTTTGATTCCCCACATGGGTTATATTTGTGGAGCCCATTTGTGGTGTCTCCTGTCGTTATATAGCGGGGAAATGGCTAAAGGCGTCATAAAGCCTAAGTCTTCTGTATATTTATACGTTCCTGTGAAGTCCAAGGTTTGCTGCGAACATACATTCAACGTGGGCGAACCATGTTATAACCCCGAGTGATATGATCGGGTGGTCGGACTCATCGTGTCATCGTATTTCAGAATCATGACGTCGCCCAACATATCAACCACTGGGACAAAAACAATACACACGCGGCCAACAAGATGCTGACTTTATGCATGCACCAACAACTATATTCTCAACACGCCTTTTCGTTATTACGTGGGAGTTGTGAGGTACCCTAGGGATTTTATTGAGAAAAAATTTTCCCCGAATTTAAAAAAACCCATTATGCTCCAGATGACACAAAGAAGAAATGGTTTTAAAAGGTGAAATATTTTCTACGGGTATCATAGTTGTGTTTTGGACCTTAAAATTGTAGTGTTTCGGTGACTGTTTTCAGCCTAACGTTTCAATAACATTTGTAATTTTGAGGTCAAATTCAATTTTCAAATATATACTTTTTTCCGGCAGTTTATACAGTTACCCAACATCCCTTGTTGATGATACACTTGATGTTATATTCAGTGACATGCTCGAACTATATGCATTGTATACACATGCATGTGCCTGCATTGTGGGCGTAGTATTGATTCCTCGGGGTATCAGATCAAGCTGTCGGTCATACGACACTGAGGCACT